GCATAAAGCAGTAACATTGCCTCTTCAAAATATAGCTATCTTTCACACACAGCTCATTTTAAACGCTGGTTCAAAAACGCTAATTTCCAAGCTGTGAATTATATTGGCGCGCTCAGTGTCATCATGGCTACGTCATCACTTCTCACTTTCTGCTTCAGGGGTAAAAGCTCTATGAGCTAGCCCTTCTCTTCTAAGTCCTGGTAATATGCTGCATTAGTAAAAGGTAAAAATTGTTAAGAATTGAAATTCGAAAGATTCTATTTTTTTAACCCATTTGCAATGTATTTTTCATGTGCTTTCTTCAAGTTAATATAATTTAATTTAATGCTTTCAAAATGTCAAAGTGTCGTATTTTAATTGATATCAAAGATGACTATCGTCCAACCTACCTTGTAGGATTTAGATTTTTGACAGCAATATCAAAGTCTCCCGAAGAAACTCATCACTCAAACACTCCATCTTTTTAAACTTTGTCCGAAATACACGCAAATAATTTGAAGATTTTCGAAATAGTATTTACGTAGCTCTCTTACACCTCCCACTGCATCATTGCACGTGCTTGCCTTAAATTCAGAACTTATTCTCACAACAGACGAGTAACAGCTTGGTCCGGTTACACTAATAACTTGAAATCTGTCCTAGAGGGGATTCAAAACGAAAGCATACAGCTTTTTTTGTTTTGCTTTCAATTGAAGTTCAGGTGTGTGCAACAATGAATTCAGCTTCCATCTGCTTCCAACGGACCCCCTATCTGCGTTATATAGTTAGGGGCCCTTAAAATTTAAAAGAAGACGGATTATAAAAGATTTTTCTCCCGCCTTCGTGGTGTAATGGTAAGCACACTCGGCGCGTATTCGAGAGGTCCGAGGTTCGAGTTCCAGTGAGGGCATTGCTCATTGTTCATCTCTCTTGCTTCGAAATATACTAAAGTCTCTACAGTGTAATAAAATCCATGTTTTAGGCTTAAACATGTAAATGTAGTTCAGCAGGACATTCATGGCCCCCTAAGGCTTCGGGCCCCTATGCGACGGCATTCCTTGCATACCCTTATTTACGCCACTGAAATCAAGTTTTAGCGTATGGTTAGGGGTTTAAACCAGGTTGTGTATAAGAATATCTAGAATATTTTTGTAAAGTGTTTGAAATAGCTCACAGAATCTATGTTAACAATAAAGATCAAGTCTGCTGAATAAAAAAGAGTATTCTAAGTATATTTGCATGCATATATGTAGCATAATGTGTAAAATTTGCAAAGATGACTCTATTTCAATAAACTTAGTAGAAATGCACATTCATTAGTTTAAGTAGAATTTATTTCAAGAAAAGCGGTCATTCCTGAATTACTCGTATAATATTTGACTGAAAGCCGATACATCTTGCTATAAGGAAAGCTATGTAAATTTGTCCTTACTTTTAAGGAAAAGGAAATTTATCGCGAATGTTTTAAATGCAAGAAAAATGTTAAAATAGAAACTAAAAAATGTAAAATTTAAGTTTAGACATAATTTGGTGAGTCCTTTGAATAACACTAAGATATGCAAAAAAGAATTAGTTACGTATTGCATAGACATAATTTGGTAAATCTGTTGAATAAATTTAAGATGTGTAAACAAAAATCCGTAATATTTAACACAGTTTGCAAAAGGTTAGTACAACCTGTATTGTATTTCACACAGTTTGCAAAAGGTTAGTACAACCTGTATTGTACATTCGAAGAGAAAGTTCTGAGTATCTGCGATTAATTAGTATAAAAAATAACAAAGATGATATTACACTTATGTTTTCGAACTAAACTATATAGAACGAGAATGTATTAGTTTAACGTTATTGAGGATATTATCCATGAGGGCCAGTACGGCTAGTAGAATGAAACGATATACATGAAAATCTTAGCTTAAATATCGCAGACAAAGAAATATGTGTAAATTTACTTTTGGAGAAATGGATGTGGTGTGGTGGTGTATTTAATTATGGCAAAGCACACTAGGGCTATCTGCCTAAGAGGAGGGATGCCTTTCGTGGAGGACTTTCTAAGGGAAACTGGCTCGTATACACGTTACACATGGGGAAAACCACGAAAACACCCATGCAGCCAGCCCGTTCGCGGGATTCGAACCTCGGACCGAACTACCAGTGTTCAGCGACTTTACCGCTCGGCCGCTGGTGGGCCAATAGTACATGAAATAGGTACTATTGGCCCACCAGCGGGTAAATAAATTGAATATTGGAGAAATGGAAACGTAATATCAATGAGTAGTTAAAACGATTGGGAAAATTAATTATAAAATCATAATGTGACAAGAAACATTTCAAAAGCATAAAAAATTTACATTTGTAAAAAGGAAAAAGTGAAAAGAAAAATTAAGATTTATTTTTGAAGCAAAAAAAACCTTTAAAATAAAATCTGAGTTTGTGAAAACCAAAAAGTGAAAAGTGAAAAAAAAAAAGGGTACCAATTTGGCAAAATGGATTGATTGAGCGACAACACAAGATTATAAAGGCAAGCTTGAAATGTCATTTACAACAAAGCAAATCTTGGGTAGACGCTTACCTTTGGTTATTCTCGGATTACGCTCTGCACCGAAAGAAGATATATGATACTCTTCAACCCAGCTTCCTTACTGAAGTCCCCTATGTTCACCCGGAGAATTCATCACCACAATCCCTAATGTCACATACTTAGAGTTCGTTCAATGCTTAAATTGCGGGGTCCGGTGCTTCTCAATTTTTAAGATAAATTACAATTTTAGCCGGAGCACAGCGGAGCCCTGGAGCGCACCGGAGCCCTAAATAAGATGAGCTCCGGTACTTCTTTTTATAAAACTGAACCACAATTTAAAGGGAAAAAATTTAGAATTCCTAACGTTTTAGTTTAACAATAAGCAGACCTTGCAATACTCTATTTCCCTAGAAATACGAACTCATGACAACATGAGACGTTCAAGTAAAGTCCCCTCACTCACATGTGGAAACCAAGCGGAAGAAAATGCATGTGGAATAAAATGCATGCGGAAGAAAAGCAATAAATTTGGGGGAGTTTGTTTAGGAACGCCTAAATTTCCCGCCATGCCATTGTATCTAGTGTATTGTTACCGATGCTTACAGTTAGTTATCCTCGCAGGAAGGAAAATTTGTGTTCTTAAATGTGCGTTAAGTGACAGCGAGTACAATAAGAGTGAAATACTGAGATAAACTGCTCAAGCACGTCCTATACACCGTCTTCCCACAGTATCTACTAATGGGGGGGAAGCGTAACCAGCAACTTTATATTCATCCTTAGGAGTCAGAATTCAGGATTTACTTTTGACACCCATCTACTTGATGGCTATAATTATATCAAGCAGAGAGCCGCGGTCAAAGCGAACGTTCTCTCTCACCAAGATTCCCATCATTTTTTTGTTTCCACCCACTTCATACCCTCATTCTGTTTCGCCTTGGAATTTTCATCAGCAATACTTTAAGTATATTTAATTTTTGTGATGATAACAGAACTCCCCCTACGATTGAAACTTAAATTGGGCCGGAACCCACTGAGATCTAAATTGCTCCAGTGCTTCTTAGTTCTTTTGTAATAAATCATAATTCTAGCCGGAACACTACCGGAGCCCCGATAATAAGAAGGCTGTGGCACTTCTTTTATGTAATTGAATAACAATTTCAGTAGAAATTTTATCTCGAAAATTTTATTTTAACAATAAAATTATATTAAAAATCGCGTATTAAATTTCATTTTATCTCTTTACATTTTTATTTAATTTTAATTAGTTAATTACTTCAACCTTTAATTATTTCAATAAATAATAATTAATTATCTGATAATTAACAATTAAATTATAATTAATTAATTATATAATAATTATTATTAAATAACGATTTATAAACATTAATTAAATATCTATTAATTAATTTGATAATAATTAGCTATTCAATTTTAAATTTATTAATGTGTTTAATAGTCATTTCATTTATTTATTTACTCTTGTTCCTCTCTGCTGATGGTCTTCCATAGGGCTCCGGCACTTCTAATCTTAGAAATTAAGCGCTGGAGTTCGTATAAAGGCTACAAAATATTATCCGTAACATGAAACCTTCTGCAACGACCACCCATGGTAATACAACCGCATTCGTTTCTAAAGACCTTTTGAATTGTTTTTACAAATTTTTTCCAAATGTTTTCGTCTACAATAACGCGGCTACCTCCTTCACCAGTTTATCTTGGGCCTTATGTTGTCAAACACCGAGCCCCAAAGTATTTTGACATTGAAATTAATGGAACTGTCAAAGGAATTTCAATTGATTAACTGAAACCGTGTTTTACCATAAAGGACAATGTTAAGCAGCCTCTTGAAACCAAGGAGGTTAGATCCTTGCTTGAAACCCCACAGCCATGGATTATCCAGATCTGCACACACAGGGCGAACCTTGGGGGAAAATTTCGCCGCCGGTCAGTCATAACCATACCACCCGCAGTGGAAGGACTTTCAGGTTTCCATCCCACTTAAAGTTTCATTGGGAATCGTTTTCACTAGGAAGGGAAAGTGTGTAGCGTCCTCTATGTTTCCTCGTCATCCTATCTTTAATTTCTGTATGTTTTAATTTTCGTAAAATGGCATCACAAAAAGACTAAAGATAAACATTCATTGGGAATTTCGTTTCCAAAAAGGCTGCGTGACATTTGTCCCAACCCTGTTTTCTCGTTAGTAAAATTGTTTTAAAAAGTTTGTTCTTTATATTAATAATACTTTAGATTTTATGCAGCAGACTTCACATCTATGAACATAAACGCGAAGCTACTATTTTCATGTTCTGCCAGACATCAGGCATTTTCTTTAAATGTAAAGTAAAAGGCCATAGTATAATAATTTTAAACTGGTTGTTTAAATGTCTGTAGCAATCACCTGTTTAAATTCATCAATATTAACTGACAATCCATTCCATTTTGCGAAAAATTATTCTGAAGGAGAAATATTTACAATTTCTTTTCTGGCAACAATATTTCTGTGCTCCTGTTTTGAAAATGTGTTTGTGGTACCAAACATATATTATTATTTCTGTTTGTTAAGCTTTAGTGTTGTCAATGAAGTATGATTTATTTGAGAACAAAACACTACAGCTTTCTTCTTGACTCATATCGCCTATTATGATTTCGCTGCTGTGAAGAAAATTGAACTGTCTAATTCCGCATCGGATAATCAGACTGGTACACATATATATTATTTTCAGAGCGCTTTGAAACCGTATCCACGACATGTATTATTTTGCTAGATTTTTAGTAGCATATTTCGCCTATAAATATTTTAATATTTTGCAGTAACCACCTAACACTGTAATTATAAATACATTCAAATATCTGTCAACATATCAAATAAGTTTCTCTCTCCATAAATACTTCATGATCGCCATAAGTTTAATTGAATTAATAGTTATATAGTTAATGCGTTATAAATCTCTTATATCTGTGTTAACCTTAATGACAGCTTTAAATTTATAATGCAATTAAAATAAGTTACTCAGAGTGCGAGTTGTAGATTGTGTTTGCCGTATTAGTCAAACGAACGAGCATCAAATGCAAGTTCCGGACAATTCTCTCTTCCTGTTCGATTCATATGATTATTGTAGGTATTTAGTTCATTATTAAAATCTCATTGTGAACGCTGTCTTTTTAATTAATTTTTTTTTTTTTTTTTTTGTTATTCCTAACACTGTAAATATTTCAAAAGACTATAGTTATATTTTAAATTATGTGGCCTTGAAGTTTCTGTTAGTTTAGATTCTGTGCAACAATTTTAAAGTGATCCCAGTTATATTTTAAATTATGTGGCCTTGAAGTTTCTGTTAGTTTAGATTCTGTGCAACAATTTTAAAGTGATCCCAGTTATATTTTTTTCATAGTTAAGATAGCTGATTAATCTTAGGCTTCCAATCACCAAATAACATAAGCAGTCAGATGCTAATGATATATTCCAGTTTGCTTCTTGACAACTTGACATCATCAGCTTCCCTGAGCAAGTTCATTTAGGCTTCCTTTTCAAGCTGATACTTATGTGCATTATCATAGCTTTTAGATCTGAGTACATACATATTAACACAACCACCTGGCCACCATTTGGCAACTTTTTGCAGAAAGAAAAGATAATTAGTGAATTTTTCGGATTGCAACTTACAGTAGATATGGTCACCTAAAGAACTGTTATGTGAATGGTTGCCAGAGTTTGGTGACTTTTACTAAGGTGGTTGTTATAAGTTCCTAAATCCTGTTATATCAGTAATAATAAATATTTCTGCTATTAAAGAGAATTGGCATTCTCTAATCAGCCAGTAGCAGATATGTGAAGTCAGAGGTCCCTTATTTTAAGATGCAAGATATATTTACTAATTTTTAAAAATATATAAATAATTTAGTTGTCCATCACGATTACTATTTGTTAAATACTTTTCCCAGAAAAGTGCCAGACAGTATGTCTGTTAATCATTCTATTTATATAAATATTCCATTAATTGATGATAAGACTATTTGTTATGTACATGTAGGTATAAAGAATGTAAGAATATTTATTTTTTATGCCGAAAAAATAAGGTACTCTTCTTTTATTGGAACCAGATTCAGAAATGTATGTATGTAAGTGCATGTGTATACTCATACATATATATGAATACAAACATTTCTGAATCTGATCTTGATGACAGATTACTGAAAATAAACACCCATATGATTGTGAATGATTTTGGCTTTCTGTGGAGATGTTTGCTATAGTAACTTTATGTTCAGTACCAACATTTGTTTATGCTTGAAGAAATATTCCTGACTTTCGGAGGCTTTACTGTATTAATTTTGAAGATACTCTGAAATTTAATTATACAATCTTTGGGAAGCACTTCCGCAGAGAACCCGGTAAATGTAAACATCGCCAACTTTGGCGATAATAGTTCAAACCTGGTAACTCATCGGATTTATCCTATTTGCTTGTTCGAAGTTTGCAACCATTCCTCATGCGTTCATTTTGTTGAATTATCACTGTCGTAGGTTCGCATTTGCAGATTTATATTATTCTCTTTTATTATTATTTTTTCTGAATTTTTTAGCAACAAATAGATAGAAATATTTTCGTAGATATATGTTAGATATTTTCTAACAATAACCTTTCAGAGGATGGCAGGGTGACATAAATAGATGATTAAATTGAAATAAAAAATATTAGTGATTATCTAAGATGACAGAATAGTTCGGTGCATCACCATGGTCATCAAAATTTGCAAACCACTTCTGGTGTAAGGAATATATTGTTTTCTGTGTTAACTGGAATTTAAGACAATTTTTTTTTTCGTATATCACGCTTAACCAGTTAATTTCAGTAATTTATATTTTTTAAATGAATTTTTATTTCCGTTATAAATCCTTATATATTATCTTATGCTTAATATATTCTTTTCTGTGCTAACTTGAATTTAATACAAATTTATTTTCGTATATCATGTTTAACCGGTTAGTTTTACATGTACATGCTTATTATCTGTGAATTTTTACTACCATATGCTTAATATATTGTTTTGTCTGCTAATTTGAATTTACATGCACTAAAAAATCACGTTTACGTCTCGGCTCATCATCGATGAACGGCGAGTAAAAATTCAACGGGTTCTTTCCTGAAGCGCCAACGGGTTCTCTGCGGATGAAAACCCAATCTTTGTATTTGAACATTGATATAGATAGAGGGAGGTTAGCGGTCTGTCCTGAGTACTAGAGATGGACAATCCACTCCAGAACTGATTCACTTTACTGAGTGAATGATCAGCTGTGCAGTGAAAACAGCACAGCATTTCTTTAACAGTTCAGAAATCTATTGTTGGGAAACGTGTCAAAAATTTTATTTCTGTTAATGTAAAGACTAGCATTCTTTTCTTTTATTTACCTATTATTCTCTGACCTATTTCTTATGTGTGTATGTATATATGTGATATTTTGGCTCGTGAAGCTTGACATCAGAGTTCAGGCATGGTTTTAGCAGAGTGGTAAGGCTATATCCAAAGAAGACACAGAGGAATTTCACTTTTAATTGCACATATTTATTTAATTCAAATAGCAGATCAATTTCCTTTTCCGACAAAGTTCTCCAAATTACATATTCAATAATGTGTTGCTAAGTACAATTAAATGTTGGTTTTCTGCGTCATAACATTCTAACAAAGAAAAGAAGGATGGACAGAGCAGAACAGAGTATAGCACAGGAGGAGAGTTGAGCTTCTTACGCAAAATGGCGCGCATTCGGTATTTATAGTAGCGGTTACGTAATAGGCTAGAAAGTACTAGTCTAGAGGAAAGATCCTGAATTGCAGAAAGTTGATTAAAGGTTGCGTGTTCGCATAGAGCAAAGTCATCATATTTTTTTTATATTTTACATATATGTGTGGTTTTGGTTTGCTTGTGTTCCATTTAGTATTTAGAAAACAAAACATTAAATAAACTGACCACCCCCTATTTGCAAATTGATGGAGTCCCCCCCCCCATCTGCAGTGTGAGGATCTGCATAAAGTAAGTAGATTATAGGAACTAGTTCCTTGGATTCCCAGCTGTCAGCGCTCTGACGCTAGTCCCTGATTTGAGTCCTTCGGAATCATGATTATTTGCTTTTTTCATTGCTCCTAAATCTTCATTACATGCTGTTTTCATAATAGCAAATGTCTGCTTTAGCTGCAAATCTGGCTCCTGCGGAGTCTTGATTATTTGTTCTTTTCATTTCTTGAGCTTTCCTTTGAGTTTCATTTTGATCCTTTAAATACTGTATCATAGTAAAGCTATGTATATTAGGTATTACTTTTTCGTACAATATTACTGTAATATTTATGTAAAATAATAAATTATATTTTTATTTATTTACTTATTTTACTAACGTCTTGTAACCAAAAGCTGTGAATTTGTCTTTAATCTTCTTCAAAATTATTATATGTTTCTAAGCACAAATTTTTTCATGTAATGAATTTTATCAAAGTTGCAGAACAAAATGTAGATCTTACTGAATAGAAGAACCTCAAGCGATATTCGATATCATTTTCTCAAATTAGATTAAAAAAAAAAAAAAAAAAAAAAAAAAAAAAAAAAAAAAAAAAAAGGAAAATGCCGATATTGGTGGCAGACAATTTCTGTTTCTTTGGGATCTGCCTCCAATCTAAAAATTAATTTTTACACTGTGCTTTCTAGTAGCAGTGAAATATCAATTTTAGTAATAAAATAATGTGATCTCTAACAAGTGAGTTTAATTTTCATTATTTTTTATCTCAGAATTTTATTGTTGCTCTATGTAGAAAAGTTTTTTTTTTTTTTTAGAATCTCAAAAGTACAGTTGAAAGAAATCAGTCCAGAGAGTGATCATTTTGTTTGAGTTAATTCCAGCGATCCCACTCTTTGTTCAATTCTTGCTGCTTTCACCCCCTCCCATCTTTGCATGCTGCTCTTGATCCATGCCTCTTCCCAGCACATTCAAGGTCATTGTTAGTGAGCAGTGAATCTTTAAAAACAACTGATTCACTTCAGAGAACAAATGGTTCCGATCTTATCCCTTAAAGGAGCAGTTTTGCCCATCTGTATTGAGTAGTACATTTTTTAAGGCAGTGTTTTTCATGTAAAACATTATTTTATAGGTATCAGAAATATCAATCTTTGAAGCAGGTGAAGAAAAATGTGATTCTGAATTGTATGGAAATAGATTAAGAAGAAAAGTGGCTTTTATATTAAATAAAATGTTCAACTACATTTAGTTGAGATTACCTTAATTCAATAGCTACTACCTTAATCATCCCTTCATTGAACTTTTGAATGACAAATACAGATATCAACTAAGTTACGGTCATGCTGACATTTAATAAAAAATAGTTTCTTGTCAAAAGAGAAATATTTCAAAGTGTAATTTTTGTAATCGTCAAGGAAGAGAAACAGGGATGTTGAAGAGTGGTTCTTTTGAAATTTTATTGTTTTTTCCTAAATTATAAAATCCAGAGTAAAATTCCAAATATCATAATACTACTGTGAACTTTCCTGTCAATTTTTACTTGCAGTGCTAACTGTGAGAAGAGTTTTCTAATTAAAAAATCATTAAGAATTACAATTTTATATTTTACAACCAAAAAAAAAAAAAAAAAAAAAAAAAAAAATTCTCTTCTTACAGAAAATCCCATTGACCATTTTTGCCTACTCAAGAGAAGACGCCAAACTACGTGATTTTTGGCAAAAAATGGAAAAGGCTTCTTCAAACACGCTGGGTTTGGTGTAACCTTGATTATACTTGTTTGTTATTATTCTTGAGTAAAGACTCCTTTTCTTCCCTCTATCATGCATTTTCATTTTCATTCTTATTTATTCTTTATAATAATGAGTTTGAAAGAAAAGTAAGAATAGAAAATTTTTTCTTGTATTTAGTAAATTTTTTTTTTTTTTTTTTTTGGTTTGGCGCTATCTCACGTGGTTGACGGGATTTTCCGTAAGTCCCAAAAAATCTTTCTGTCTGCAGTATACCTCTACAATGTTGTCCATGTTTTTCTCAACAGAAAAACAACAATAAAATTTTAAAATATTGGAACTGAAGTTTTACTTAAAAAATAAATATTAAATATTAATTTTTTTCCCTATGTGTAACTCTGACATTTTTGTCATTTGCTTGTGTACCAAGTGGAATGGCAAATTTAGGGATTGCTAAGTGGCAAACTCAAAGGTTGCCTTGGGCTGCAAAGGCTGTGGCTGCACTGTGTTTTAACGTGCATTGTATTTATTAAATCTGCTAACCTTTGTATTCAGACTTACTAGTGTTATACTAAATGTATTAAGTTTTAAAATGTTCAAAAATATATTAATTGAATTATTGTAATATTTGTATATTTTAAGCTTATTAATGCATATGTTTATGCTACTCGGAGAGTACCAAAAAAACTCATATATTGCTAAGCAAATATAACAGGAAAACATGAAATAGTTCATTTGCTATTACTAATCTTGTCTTCTTTTACAGAAATAAGATAGTATAATGATGCGCCAAGTGTTCCTGTCCTTATGTGGGAAATCAAATATTCTACATCCATCAATACCTACATTATTTCTAGCTAAATTGTGCTCTAGTTATCTAGGAAAGTGGAAATTGCCTCAGGGATATGATACTGGAATTACTGTGTATAATTCTGCAGTAAATAAAAGAGTTCCTCTGATCCTGAGGGACAAAGGAATAGCTACATGGTATGCAACTATTTTTATTTCCTTTATATTTCTAACAATATTTTCTGTTGCAGCAGTTTTTTAAAACCAGTCTTTCTAAAAATAGGGTATTATATCCTGGGCTTTGTTTATAAGTATTATTTAGAGAAGGGGTTCTCAGTCAAAAAGGAAATTCACATTTTCAAGGGTAATATAATTAGCCTTTTATTTAGCTGTTACATATTTAGTTTTAATTAATGAATACAGTACAAAGTTGGAAATCCGGACATCCAGTATCTAGAATGATCTAAAATCTAAACCTCTGAATTGCCAGCAAACATTTTTTTAAAAAAGAAATTTATGCGGTTGATATTTTCATTATTAACCTGTTCAATACGGGCGTGTCATATATGCATCAGCAGCGAACATTACCTAACGGCCGGGTGTGTCATATTTGAATCGCCATTTAATTCACTCTATGGGCCGGCGTACCACATTTGACTTTTTTGATAGAGCGTTTAATTAGTATTTTTTGTTGCCACTAGATATAGCTGTATGTCTGTTATGGGGAAATATATCGAAAGTTAAGTTATGTGTACCTTCATTCCTATGCAATGTTTTTTATTTTTGGTATTTTGTTTCGGAATGAGAGGGAGATTCATGGGTGGGTGTTGAGCAATGTAATGTCTCTTTAATTGCGTCATTTGATATAAACAAATGCACATGTTCTGGATGCTTTGAGGTACTTTTTATTTTTGCGATGTAGGTGGCTGAACGTAGAAGAATATACACAAATGCTAATTCGTTAGTGTTGAGAAACGTGGTGGCTCTTACTGCATCATTTCATATAAACAAATGAGCATGTTCTTGTGGCTGTGGAATACTTTTTAATTTAATTTATTTTATTTTTTTGAAAGTTTTTTTTTTTTTTTTTTTTTTAATGTTCTTGTGCTGGTGTTCTATTTTTTAATGGCAAAACCATAGCACTATCTGACCGTAGAAGATATACAAATGCTAAATAAGTCAAATTTGCTGATATTCTATTCCTGTGACATTTGCAACATTGGACTTTGCATACACCCATGTTTTAAAGAATATCATACACTGTCTCTTTTTTGAAATATTGCTTCATTTTCGTTGTTTTCACATTCAATTTTTATGAAAGACAGTTTTAATATTTTTTAATTTTAATTATGTGTTGTGTTAAATAAAATCTGCGATTGTTTGGATATTTTTCCATATATATTTATTTGTGGGATAAGGGGAAAATTATTCTAGAATGAATATTAAACTAAAAATTACCTTTAGTGCTGTTGGAAACAGGAATGACTGATTTGTTATTTATATAAGCCCAGGACTGCCAGAGCTGGTAAGGCCACACCAGGTAACTTAATTTAGAAAAGGCAACATTTTTAGAATTTAGGGCAGAAACTTTGAAGCAAAATTTTTAGAATTTAGGAAGGCACTTACCAGCAGAATTTTGGTCCTGTAAAGACTGCGCTGGGCTGCAAAATATCTAGCTCTAGCCTTGAATAAGCCTTAAGTATATGTGGGGAAATTATGTATTCAGGACTCGGATAAACCAGGATAGGATTCAGGACTCAGATTCAAACAGCACATGTGTGGGAAATAGGCATTGTATGATAACTAAACTAGTGTAATTCAGGCTTAACTTTGTCAGTGTTTGATAAAAGCAGGATAAAATTTAGCAAAATAATATGTCTTTTGTTGCCAGTAGTGTATTCTAGGTGAGCTTTAAGATGATAGCCAAGAATTTGAAGGTTTTCCAGACAAAAAGTAAAATGTTCCAGTTAGTGGAATTTGTGAGAAATGTGGAGAAGTTGTAATAAATGAAAATGATGTAACAAGTTTTTCAGTGTGATGATAATGCCTCAATCATCATTCAACTAGTGGATAACAAAATCTGTATTATGGTTCTAAAACCAGAAAATATTGCTACTGATAGTGAAGAAAATGACAGAGATCGTTGAGAATGCAAAAATTTTGACTGACAATTTAGTGGAGAATAGACAGAGTACAATTACAGGACTTGGACAAGGAAACTTTGTAACTGAACAAGAAATTATATCTACCTATAGAATTGAAGAGAAAGTATTAACATAAAAACTTTACTCTTCTGTTATCTGGACCAGATTGAGAAGTGTATGTATGTAGGTATGTGCATATATATGTGTATACACACAGATACATATGTATGTACATTGCGCCCCCCCCAAAAAAAAAGGACAGTTCTATATCTCCCATTCTACTGGGCTGATTGACGAAATTCAAGAGAACTAACTACTCTTATATACGCCCTCGCTTGGCGACAAATTTCTCGCCAAAAACATTTGGCGAGAAACTCCACGTTGCCATATTACTACCTAAATTTTTTTTCTACATTTCGAACTTTAAGCCTAAAATGTCTCCAAAAACGCGGTTCGCACCTGCAAAAACCACATTTTGAACACACAATGTAAGCTGACAATCCGAAACAAAAAATTTAGATAGCAAAAACATAAAGTTTCTAACCAAAAATATTTGACAAGAATCCATGGATATAGAAATATGTTTTAACCTTAAAAAAAAAAAAAAAAAAAAAAAAAAAAAAATCTATGAATTGCACAATGTAGGCAGCGAAGGAATCTGCGAACTACGCACACCTCGCTTAAATAAATTAACATAACAACAATAAATTTCAAAAGATATCGTGTACACAGCGTTCTGTTTAAAAAATCTACGAATTGCACAATCTAGGAAGCGAAGGAATCTACGAACTACGCACACCTCGCTTACATAAATTAACATAACAGCTATAAATTTGAAAGAGTACCAGGTACATAGGGTTCTGTTTAAACTTGAAAAAAAAATCTACAAATTGCCTAAATTGTGCAATTAAAAAATTACAAACTATTCAAAAAAACAACAACAACGAACGAAATTCATACTAAAAAAACAATGAACATAACATTCTATAAAATAAAAACAATAAAATAAGATGCACTTAATGCTTGTTTGAACAGCAGAAATATCAAGAGCATACAAAATCCAGCATACTTTCGTGAATAAAATTTCGCCAGTCATACAACCTCTGTGAACAAAAGTGCCACAATTTTGCAATATCGCAGGTCTTTCTGCGATTCGGAATTCTGAAGGTAACGATAAAAACTTCCTCCAAAGTTAACTTTCTACAAGAAAACCACAATCCAAATCTTAAACTCTGCTGACAGCCACATACTTTACCAACAACCATTTTTCTGCAAACCCACACAAGTCTATCAGAAACGCCCTTCTTCGTATGACTTTTCATATCAGCTCCACATTTCGGACACGCCAAACTCTGCTTCAGAAGTCCTGACTCCCACAGAAATTCCAAAAATACACTTTGATCCGCATAAACACATCCGTGAACAAAAGATTCGTTAACACCTCCAACATCGTATCTTTTAATACTAAATTTACTTTGCACACAATCTAAAATACATGACTGAAATTTTGACACCATGTCATTCATTGCAGTATTCCATTTCAAAATGAGCACGACACGAGCCAACGAGCAAATAAAACCACTGCAGTGAAAGAGTAAGTTTCAACGTCAAAAGGGTTGCCATACAAACAACATCGTCCCCCAAACCATTGCAGAACACACAATCGTGCCAAAAACCAGCGCAGAACACATATCGCCACATTTGGCAACTGAGGGCTCATAAAAGAATAGTACCAATTCAAGTTGCGTTTTTCATGTCTTGAAAGTGCGACTTAGGATATATATTAGATTTATATATAGTATTGTTCTAACATATGTATTTTGACACAAAATGGGACTTTTTCTGAAATAACATACCAGTTTTTCCATACAAAATTTGGTGCAAAATTTATGGAGAAATTTACAAATTTATCTTAGCGTCTTTTTTTTTTCAGTTTGCACCAAGAATGATTCACTTGGCAAACTTCTTAATATATGGCAACTCATTCTCCTTTTCCATCCATTGTGAAGGACCAGAAAAAAGTCACATCGTTCTCCTTTCAAATAATTTAACAAAGTGCCTAAACCACATTTGATGTTATTATTGATTTCAACAAATATGCCAAATATCAAAATGTGCCAATATATAAATTCACGTATATCTTCAGAAATTTTGAATGAAAAATTTTATAGATTATAATTCAAATTTTTTTTTCAAAAAATTTACAAAAAATATTTTAAAATACAAATTTAAAAAATAAATCATTAAAATGGGCGAATTTTATTTGGAATGAAACTAAATTTTGAAATGTGAAATGAAGAATCAAATAAGTTTAATAAGAAGGAGATGTTAATAAATATATACCAAACTCAATTAACATTGGGAAGTTAAAATTTTGAGAGCTAATTTTTTTAAATTACTTGTGCGATTTTTACAAAACCTGGCAGTTTGGCATAATTTTAGTGGTAGAATTGAAATATGGAAAAAAAAATTGACATGTCATTTCAGAAAAAGTCCGATTTTGTGTCAAAAATCCTATATTAGAACAATGCTATGTATCAGTGGTGGCAAATCTTTTTGATTAAATCCCCATTGGAGAGCGTTTACTATGTTTTGCCAGGCATGGTGAAATTTGAAAGCTGGCCATTGTTAGATGGTTTGTTTTAGAAAGAACTGCAACCAACTTTCTGGTAATTATAATTCCTCAATTTCCCTTCAATAAACACCTTCCATTCAACTTCAAGTTCAGCAGCAATCTTGTGGTTGGTGTTAAAGTGCCTTCTGACATAAGATGTGCGACACACAACATTTTCTCTGTACATAATGTATAATGCTTTCCTATTGTATTCAGTAACTCCAAATGATTCTGTCCAAGTCTCTTGAAGTGATCTTATACTATCAGTGTTGAATTTTACATTTTCTGCTGCACAAAGAAAGCAAAATTTAAAAGAAATTTGAAAAACACAAAATTTAAAAATGAAGCATTAAATATAAATCGATCGTATACTAAAAAGAGGTAATATTATTAGCTAATAGTAAGGAACTGGATTTTTCACGAATCAACAATCTATGGCTGCAGATTCAAATATGAACAGGTAGCAATAACTGTTAACCCAAACATCTCTTTGCTAAACTTCTAACTTTAGATTTCATATGCTCCTTTTCGGCTTTATTGGGCTTATTTTGGCTGAGTGCATGTGAATAAGCTTGGTTTCTCTACTAAGCTTTTGTATATTGCTATATTATCAAATTGCATGTTTTTACATTATATTTGTACATTCCATTTAAGAGATTAAATTAGAATTATTTATAACTTACCTCAAAATGCTTTGATATGGAAACTGGAATCTATTTAACTATGAAAGTATTAAAAATTACCAGAAGTCTGCAATAAATTTGAATTCGTTTAGCAAACATTAGCTGCTTCAACTTTGGCATATTCTTTGCCATGTAACAAGTAACATGATTGGATCAAGCTATTGAAACGTTATAAATTGGGTCAATAAATATGTATACAATTTTTATGGTGATATATGGAAATCTTATAGCTAGGCTTAAGCCCTATGCCAGTGGCATTATGTGATAAGCAAGTAAGTGAAACATTCAAGAACATACTAAAATATTTATTTAAATTACATAGTATCATTTTATTGTGATTATTTATTAAGGAAGTAATATTTTAGTTGCATGCCGGCTGATGAGGCTCTGTGTGTCTCCTGTGGTAGGCATGCCATAGGTTCGTCATCACTGTTATATATATAAATCTAATACATATCCTAAGTCGTGCTTTCAAGACATGAAAAACGCAAGTTGAATTTCGTCAATCGACCCAGTAGAATGGGAGATATAGAATTGTCCCTTTTTTTTTTTTTTTTTTTTTTTTGCCTCAGGGTACATATATACATGCATACATGAACACATCTGTCCATATATGTATCCATACATACATACATTTCTGGACCCAATCCTGGTAACAGAACAGTACCCGAAAAACAAAGCAACTTGGTAACTTACATTGAAATAAATGTTTAATAAAGCAAACAAATAAGTCTTGACCTTTTTTTTTTTAAATTTTGATTCCCTGAAGGTCATAAATGTTTCATTAATCATTATTTCTTATTTTTAATTTTATAATATTTATGTATCATTTTACTTGATTTAAACTGATGATATAATATCCAGAAAAATTTCAAATCTGGAATTGCGGAAGTACCAGTGAGTCCGAATCTTGGACTTTGTACTATATGAAAAACTACTTTCAATCAAGTTTTGGTTTTTATCAACATTTGCTATACCTTTTATAGTTTATTTTATAAAAAGTGCTAAAAATAATCTAAATTTAAATAACTGTATGTCTGTTTCTTGAGTTTAGGAAATGAGGGCTAGAATATCTAGCAGTGATAAATAGAATTCATAGGACAAAATATGTTGTCCTATATATAAATTTAAACAAATTTAAATTCTAAACAAATACGTATAAAAGTAAAAAAGTAGAAAAGCAAATTTAATTCTAAAAAAAGGAAAAAAGCCAAAATAATTTAAAATAATTTAAAATATGCAAACATGTTATTTTTAAATTATTTTGGCTTTTTTTTTTCCTTTTAAATATTTTGGTTTTTTTTTCCTTTTTTTTAGAATTTAAATTTTGCTTTTCTACTTTTTTACTTTTTTTATACGTATTTGTTTAGAATTTAAATTTGTTTTAAATTTAAATTTCATTCCTTGCAGCAATGGCAAAAAGAATATTTAATTAAATATGTATTTAAATTTAATTTTTTTAATTAAACTCAATATATTCTTTTGAAACAATTTGTCCTATCTATATATATATAATATAATTATACAAATTAATCTATTTTAGGATAATTCAGGGCATATAAAATAAAATCTATCAGTAAAAATCAAATTAAATTTTTTTTTAAATTTTTTTTTTTTTTTTTTACTAGGAAAAGATTATACTATCCTTTAGAGTGGATAAAAAAAAGAAAAAACTATTATAAAAGAAAATGTTGATTTAGAAAAATTGTAATCAGTTGACTTCTTGCAATTTTGTTCTTCAGCTTAAAGAAATTTGCACTGTTATTTTTTTCCACCAGTCAATAAAGGGTGCTATTATAATTGGGCTATTAACCCTCTGGCTGCTCATCACGCGATTTCCTCAGGCAACTCAAATGTAGAAAATCTGCTCATCCCGCGATTTCTGAGGGCATGTGTTTTTCTTTCTTTATTGAGGAGCATATCCCGTTTTTTTCCCCCGTTTAACCATTGAAATAAATTGTATGCAGTATTAGGCATTTAGTTTACGCTTTGGCCAACAGATATCGTTAATTGTCCACTAAATTGCGCCATTTGAAGGCACGTGGTATTACCACTCAAACTCCACTTTTTACAATTTTTTTCTTACAGAAATGGTTGCTAGAAAACATTCAGCGATTATCTTGATTATTTAATTAAATTATTGAATTATTAATTAGATTTATTGAATCTGGTGCAAAGACTGTGAAGTTGGACTTTGCCTTGAAACCTGTTTTGAACTCTATCATACTAAACTGCATTTCTAAGCTATTTTTCCCTCAGTGCTTTATAATTTCTTAAATTTTATGTATTTTACTTTTTTATATTATGCTATAAATAGAAATTAACTGTAATTCGACTGAAATTTATTTAAAAAAAAATTTATTTTTTCATGATAACATCTGAAATTGGTTTTTCTACAACTTAGTTTCTCATGATGAAAATCTATATATATATATAAAAAAAAATTTTCTAGAAAAGAAAAGTGCATTTTTCAACTCTCCAGTATATATAGATTTAAAATATGCAAAAAAAAAAAAAAAAAAAAAAAAATAAAAAAATAAATAAAAAAAAAAAAATAAAAAATAAAAATAAAATAAAATAAAATAAAATATTTTTTGAAGCGATTTCAGCCTACAAATTGAGCAGTCAGAGGGTTAAGAACAGCGTTCCTGTTCTTTCTACACTTAAAAATGTTGAATTAAAAGGAGATCAGCTGTTATAATTTTGAAAATTTGTGCATCTCTCTTCCATTAACAGAAATTTACAATTTTCTTTTTCCCTTCCATCCATTTTTCCTGAAATATTGAATGTAGTTATAGAAGGCTATTTGAACATTTTAGTGCTGCCATTTAAAAAATAATTAACTAAAGGCAATATATCACATCATTACCCAATTATCTTTGTCCTTAACTTAGTGTTAAGTGAAATTCGTTTTAATATATTCTTATGTATAATGATTGTAGTTTCTCAGTAGTATTTAATTTGTTTATGTTAAACATTTTTGTTTTAGGTATATTTGTGGGCCTACTGTATATGCAGAATCTCACATTGGACATGCAAGGTAATTCACTGATTTTTATCCCTTCTAGAATTCAACGGTTTTGTCAAATGGGAAAAATGCATTGAACAGTATTTAATTCTTTTTTAATCCAGTCTATTGACACCCAAAAGGTGCCATCCATAGGGAAATAAGCTGGTTGCAGATCTGCTTTTGTGTCCATCCCTTTCCTTTTGTATGTATGATGCACATGTGAGTAATCTGCAAAAGTATAATAAAGTCATTCTTTCGTGGCAAATAGTTCTCAGCTTCTTTACCATACTAAATTACCTATTTACCCTCATTCAGATATCTAAATAATTGAACCTTTATTTATTAAGATAATTTTTATTGATAGTTAACAAAGCAATATGTATGTTTATTTTTGGAAGAAATATGTGTTTACATATAGGCTTATTTTAATACTAATCCCATAACTGTTCCTTGCATTCCATATAACTACCATCGTGAAATCAGTCTATTAACAGCCATTAGGAATTTGACTTAATGTAATGCTATGATTATTCATTTCAAAGAAATTAAAATTAAGGACTTTTTGAACTATAAAAAATTTAGTTTGCACTTGCAGTTGCAAGAAAAATTTGAGTGCAGCAAGTAAATACCTTTGTCAAAAATTATGTCCTACCAAAACCCAAGTATGCCAAATAAAAATGTTCAAATCTGTTAAAATTGTGATGAACATATGATATACAATATTTACAAGCTGTTCAAAAAATATTGAGTTTTTAACAGTATGTTTTCAATTTTCAAATAAAACATTATCTTAAGTGTTTTCAATATCCTAAAGTAAGTATAAATAAGCAAAATCAGAATACTGTTTGCAGAAGGAACAAACAGATGAGAAATATATATGCCAATTTAGGCTAAAAAGTAAACAAATGTGTACCCAATGTAGTACGGCAATGTCGTAACGACGTTGCAAACTGGTTGCAAGTCATGTTGCAAAAATGTCGCAATATGTTGTCTTTAAGATGCCCAGATGTCCGTCAAACTCCACTGTTTTGCAACCGTTGCAAAAACGTCTTCATTACGTCTTTGCAGATGAGGTTTTTGTCGCATAAACATCATTATTGTAGGTGATATTTTGGTTGTAAAACATTGTATCACGATGCCTAAATGTTTGCGAAATTCCACCTTTTTGCAATGGTTGTGAAAACGTCATTATTATGTTCTTGTGTTACATACTGATTTATGCAGAAAAATAAGCTTATTAATTAATATATTTTTCTTCTTTTTTAAAATTTTGTATTCCTTGTATTTTTCTAAAGTTTAAATATTTTTTCATTTCCTGAAAACCAGAAGATAATACAATTTTTTTTCTCTTTAGACTCAATATGCATAATTAATAATAGCCTTAATTATTTTCAATACTTTAAACTATAGTTTTTAAATTTCTCTTTAGACTAAATATGCATAATTAATAATAGCCTTAATTATTTTCAGTACTTTAAACTGTATTTTTTAAATAACTTAAATTCTAAGTTACGATTATAAGATTTCATCATTTTTTCCCCTTAAGTGAGAGTAATTATATGAAAGGGGTTATTATAAATCCATAACATTAATAGTAGGTTTTAAATAAATAAAACTTAATTAGACATAAATAAAAGTAAAGATATATATGTGGGTAAAAAAAGAGCATTTCTGATAACAGCATTATCACATTTATTTCTGTTAAATCTCAGAGTCATTGAAAATTGCCCCTGTCATGAAAATTAGGAAGCGGTTCTTAAGGTAACATAATCAGTATTTTACCTGAACTCAAGTATAAATTTATTCATGTTTCACAGTAAAAAATATAACCATTACCTTCTGTATCTCCAAGATATGCAAATGAAAGACTGCATAAAGTAGTTAATAAATGTGATAAAAAATATTTCAGACAAAAATATACCTACATCTAATAACCTTCCATATTCATATCTAAAATGAAATAATAACCTAACGAACAACATGCATGACGACACTATTTAAGAAAATACAAGAACTAGTAGTGTTTGAAAGTATAAATAGCAGAAGGAAGGTAACAGAACTAAAATTTCCAATTAATAAAAAATTATTAGTGTTTTTTTAATAGTAAGCAATTAAAAGAGCAATAATTATGGATTGCAGTATTTACTAGTAATGCAGAGTAGCTTCTCCGTTCTGCTGGCCTTACGCTTCACGCACGCGCGATACACATTTTTTCAGCATGGCAACCTTCGGCGATTGGTGACGAATGTAGACTTCAGGCACCCATTGTAAATTGCTGCGAATTGTGTGTGCTGTGTTTTTTTATTCATACACACACACACACACCACAAAACACAAAAAAAAAAAAAAAAAAAAAAAGTTTTAAAGTATTCATGTTCCAAAAGATAAATATTCAGTACTGTTTGAATTAACAGGGTTCGAACGGTCCTTAAGAGTCCTTAAAAGTCCTTAAATTTTTTTAAATCGATTTTTGGTCCTTAAAAGTCCTTAATTTTGGTCAAAATCAGTGGAAGGTCCTTAATTTTAATCATCTGAAATTTCTCTCTGTTTTTACGACTGCCATTTTGAGTGTGAATTAGCATTTTGGAGGAATATTTTTGCCAATTCACTGACGTATATGGTTATCTTTTGAATGGGTTCATGGGTTATAATTTGTTTCTATTTTTAATATAAATGATGGGATACTCGAGTTTCTAAGCAAGAAGTGAAACATAAGCATTTCGAAATTCATTTTTTCTAATAAAGAGCTCTTAAACAACTTTTTGCTTTTGGGGTTGTGAATTCTTTTATTAAATGGTTCTAAATTTGACAACTTGTCAACATTCTGGCGATTTTAAGATCAGTTTCTATAGAAAATTTTTAATTCCGAGATCTGAGAATTTTTCGGCGATTTTTTTAAAACAACATAGCATTGATAAATTTCATTAAAATAATGGTAATATATTAGAATCATATTTAAAAAATAACATTAAAAACTTTTTTATTCTTCGCTGTCATATTATAGAATTTCATTTTGGCAACTTATTATACAATATTTTAAATCTCAAAAATAAACTCAAAAACAAATTCTATAGGTATATAGCTATAAAGCATAATTTACGAAACAGCTCTTAATAAAAGCAAAATTAGTTATGTAATTAATTAAAATGTCTTCTTTTTAATATTTTAATAGTAAGCGTTTTTCCCATGTAATTGTCTCAGATTATTCAAAATTCTCAGAATATGCATCAGTTTTCTCTATAAAATTAATTTTACACTTTTTTTTTTTTTTTAAAATATTTCTGGCTTTTTGCTGTTACAGAATTGGTTGGGATAATTCTTCTTTAGTATTTTTGACATTGCAGCATGGAAAGTTTAGAAGGATTTGAAGGCAAGATTTATAGACTCACGATTCTAGAAGATTCGTGAAATATGTGACAAAATGAAAAATGTCTCCATGGTATCAACATATCAACACGTAATGGATGCATTTTACAGAAAGTTTGCGATGAATTTCTTACTTTTTGGAGAACGTCTGGAAGAACAATGGAAACATAATATTTGAATGTTTTACTCCTGATACTAGAGTATTTTTTCTTAACATGTTTATCTTCCTTTTATTTTCTCTACTTTTCACTAGACAAAAGCATGGAAAATATCAAAAATGCTTCTAATCTTATCACTTGGGCAGGCATTATAGAAAGAGATTTTTTTATTAATAAAGAAATTGAAAACTTACAATTTAAAAGATTCATCCAATGTGTCTAAATGCATCGTACACAGAGCTGGTGCTATGTATTTTCCCACCTGATGCAATCTCTGTGTATCCTAAATTCTGCTGCCTATTGCCTATCTAAATTCTGCTTCCAATGCCCGCTCTAAATTCTAAAAGTTTTGCCATTTCTAGATTTTGTTGTTCTGTGTGTCACTAAATTCTAAAAATTCTGCCACACCTGCTCTGTAATCGGCCTTTACCATATGTATTTCATATTTCTTCTGAATGTTCATATTACTATAAAATAAAATTAGCCGCTTTTTCTGTACATTCTAAATGCATTTAGTGTTTTTTAGAATAACAGAAATCCTTAATTAAGTCCAAAATTTCTAAAATTAAAAGTAAACACGTTGAAGAAAGAAACCGAATACATAAAGAAAATTATTCTTCAAAGATATGTGCAGTTATTATTATGTAAATTACCCAATTGTTTATCATTTCAGCCTTTACCATTTCTGTTTCCTCATATAATAGAGTTACTGAGCAGATTAAATTAAAATAAAATTGTATTATCTTTGACCACTAGTCCACATTTTTAGTTTGAATTTGACTGTTCTCGTTTAATTACGTCACCGTGAGCTGTAATTGACTTTGTTAGCATCAGAACATGCCTTTATATTCTAAGTTCTTTGTCTGATATTGTAGTTACTTTCAGATACAGTAATAATTTGCTTCACGTCTACCGGGGGGGGGAGGGACTATTTAACTTTTACCAGATCAAGTAAACCCTTATAGGTACATTGTGGAGAGGTTGACAAGTTAGGAGATAAAGCACACAGAAACTAGCGAGAGAGCATATTGAGACAAATTTCTAATTATTGTCAGAAAAGATCGATAAATAAAGAGAAGAAAATCGATATAAACTAGCCAAAATGTTTGGGAAGGCTTGTAGAGACATTAGGTATTTTTGAAAGCAGGAAAGATAAAAAATTAACAGCGTCTTTGCCGGGAATCGAACCTGCAGACCCTCTGGATACTGCTACTGGCCCAGTGTACAAACCACTGCACCACGAAGGGTCGCCAAGAAGGTGGGAGAAATACCTTATATACTCCCCCTTTTAAACGGCGACTGGGGTTTTTAGGGAATCCAATCGTCAAATCATTTGTGTGGAGAACCCATCAAGTAACTATCACCCATCAAATAACCATCAACACCATCAAGTAAAACTTATTCTTTGCATCTACTTGAGACTTATATATAAAACAAATTATCACCTCTGGCGCTTTAATGGCTTATTGGCCATTAAAGCCATTATTATTATTTAATGGCTATGGC